AAAACAAGTTGCAACGAGCTGCAAACTGCTCCTGAAGTGAGCTAGTAAAATACCAGCAATTCACATAACCAAGCTGCAAGAAGTCACAGTGACACCGTGCTCTGTCAGGAATGTGATCCAAAAAAGCTGGCAGTTATATACTTGTTAGTAAATGTGTGTTTAATGAGGCAGCATATATACAAGATAATATTACCTTAAGTGACCTGAAAGTTGTAATGGAGAAAAGGTGAGCAAGGCTCTCCTCTCCCACCTCCCCTCCCCTTTCAACTCGCTTTCCCAACTGCCTCCCGAGATTATAATCCTATATGGGACTTCTGTTTTCCTAGGCAGGTGCTTAAGAAGCAAAAGCAATCATCTTCTCAGTGCCATCAGGAAGCTGGATATCGCCAGACTGAAACCAACACATACAGGCTGCGTTTTCATATTCTCTTTCTCTGAAGAAGGTACTCCCGAAGGTGAATGTGTATCTCATCAGCCAGCTACGGCAGTGCAATCTTACAAAGCTACTTGGAGAAGAGCATGAAACGAGGCCAAGCACGACTGACAAGCTACGTTAGCGTTTGGTTCTCTTGCATACCTATGCTGAAAGTGATACAGTTTACAAAAAATTAAGTGCACGTGTGCACATACACAACTTTTTTAAACAAATAAACTTGGCTTTTCTCCATAGGGGACAAGGAAAGGGAAGCAATTAAATTGCAAGTCTTTAGTGCTCATTCATTATTTTTAAATTCTAATCCTCGTCTGCAATGTTGCTCTCAAGTCCACACGCTTGGTGGGCATAAAATTGGCCAACCTAAAACAACCATTAAAAGTGCTGCTATTTATTTATAGCTATATATATTTTCTAGAGCAGACTCATAAGCCATCATGCAAACCAGAAAATTCCAGATGCCTGCTCTTAATTATGATCTGCAGCTTGCTTTCTGCATTTAAAAAAAAAAAAAAAAAGGTCAATATTGCACATTGTCATTTTAAGAGCCGCTGGCACAGGAACTTTATCCCGCATCTGCTGATGTCTAAAACGCGAAGCAGAATTATGCCTCTGCCGTAACCGAACAGGAAGACGGTTCACTACATGAGCTCACTCCCTGCTACCTCCACCTACAGACAGGCATATTCTTTTCTCCCACCTCCCACCGGGCAGGGGACTTTCTGGATGAACAATGCCCACAAAGCAACTCCATTACACCCACCTGTCCGGGTGTCATGTCAGGAACATACTCAGTGGTTTACATATTTCAATGCTAGAATATAGAAAGGTAACGTCACTGCAGTAAATTAAGTCTTGGGTATTGTCATACGCTTTAAAGTGAATTCAGAGTCTGCATAAGTGGCAAAAGGAAAACTCTGGAAAGCTCGAGTTCACCACTTATCCGTAAGACAGGTGCAATATATACAGCGTACACTGTCAGCTCCTCTTGCTGTAAAGGTACAATCTTCCTCTGCTCATCAAAACTTTGAAGACAGGCAGTGAGGATGCCAAAGAGAAGAGATGGTCTCCATCTGTTTTCGAGTGGGCATTCTATGGAGATTATCTTACGTCACCAACTCAGCGTACACAGTAGCAAACAGAAGTTGCTGCCTGACATCAGACGCCCAAAGTGGAAGGGCACACCGCCCAGCACCAACAGACCAAGACATCCAGTCTCTGGGGGGCCGTGAGAGGAGAGTCTCTCCTTTCATTCCTCAGTTCTCTTAAAAGGCCTCCTGAGGTGTAAAAATCTAACTACAAATTTCATTTCATCAGTGTTTCAAATTGCTCTGGAAACTAATCTTGTATTAATCCATACACACATGGCCACCAAGAAAAGCAACGCAAGCGCAAATTTACAGTAAGGTTGATACACCGTGGTATCAACTCAGCGAGCTGTACACACTGAGCCTAACTTATTTTGGGTCTGAGTGCTTCCTCAAACAAAAAAAGCAATAGAGCTAAAGCAAAACTTGAGATAAGAGCTGGTAGAAGAGGAGCTTCTCCACTTCAACGGTGGGAAAAGAGCAGTAAAGTTAATGCTCAGATGTTAGTGTTCTCACCCACTGTTTGGGTCTGAAACTCTAGCATCAGGCAGCAACCTCACCAAATGCAGACATACCCTCAAAACCTCATGTAAAATCCACCATCCTGCTCATCTTCTAGCAGTGACATTACAGGCTTTGTAACAGGTCTCTGGCACAAGAAATGTTTGGACTTCAGCATTCAAACTTTCTGAGAACTGAAAGGAACTAATCCCACCATTCGTCTCCAGACCTTGCCTCCTCACCGAAGGGAGAGCAGGGAAGCATCCAGAAGCTAGCCAGACCACTTCTCCGGGGGGCTGGACTGTCGGTATACAATGCCATTCAAAAATTGTCCGTATCTCTGTAACGCAACCATTGAATAGTCCTTGAAAATTTCTCCCTGCAAAAAGACAAGATGTTTTTACAGCAGAAAAGACGCGGGCTGTTTTGTTGCTGCAGAAGTTATCGGGCCCCAAGGCAAAGCTGATGCACACACCCCTTTCCCAAGCATCTCCTGGAATGCCAGCTTCGATCAGGATTAGGTTTCTTCTTGCCAAGCACAGGAAGCAGAACAGAGGGTTTTTCCAAGAGTCACAGAGAAAAGACTTCTCTGACGCCGTTTACTGCAATCAGTGCAGACTCAGTTACTGCAAGACCAACCGAAACTCCCTTTAACCATAGTGAAGTCTTCCAAACCAAGGAGGGAAGAGAAGAGACTGGAGCTTCAGCTCCTATTAAGGCGTTTGCATATACATTCCCAACCTGGGTCTTCAAAAAAGGGAATTCTGCAAAAAAGGCATTTTATTTGGGAATGGCAAAAACTATGATTGTTGATAATCTCTGTGGAATTATAAATTGCTCATTTAAAAAACATGGTTAAATATAAGTGTCATATCTTTCCCTTGCTTGCCAATATGTCCTTTCCGTGAGTTCATGTGCTATGTCTTCTGTAGATCAGGGGAAAATGGGCCGGGGGTAGAGGGTCCATCCAGTCCAGACAGAGTAAATGGGCCATGACTGTTCAGCACTGATGGAAACTAAGAGACAAAACAAAAATTATTAGGGAAGAGGCCATTTTCATTTACTGTTCCTCTCATGTCTGTGCATGTAGAAGCTCCCCCAGGAAAAAAAAGACCAAAACCAAAACACAACAAGAAAAAAAAAACCCCACCCCAAACTTTCAAAGCATCTTCTTGGCTTCCCTCAAGTAATTTACTTTTTAAATGCCACTGCATCACAGACTGCGCCAATCCAGCCGTTATAACCAGTGTCACCAGGAGGAGCCAGTCTGTAACCTCTGCACTGAGCACCGCCCTATGTCCTAAACTAGTAAGTGACTTTAAAACAGGTTGTTGGGAAACCATGGTCTAAATTGTTCCTCATTTAATTATCAGCTATTTACAGAGGAAAACGTCCAATGCATTTTCAGACCTACTTGTTTATTCCCTGTCCTCACGGTAGATGTAAGCTACTTCCTTAATCTCCATGGAGGTGACAGATATAAACCCAAAAGACAACTAGTTAAATTTTACCCTTTGCCTAAGCAGACTCGGGCAACAGATGCGGTTATTCCAATTCCAAAGTGGAAGGTGAAGGAAGAGCATGAGTAATTACAACTAAAGAATTTTTTTTAAATATAGGGGATTTTTTTTCTTATGTATTAGTTATCAGAAGTATTTATTAAAAACAGTGAAGCTGAGGCTTTCCAAACATCAGAAGACAGCAGGATATAGAGATCATAAAGAACTGTGCTACATATTGCCACAGAGATCACACACGCGATCTCCCTTCTTACTAGTGGTGAGATTTAATTAATACCTTTCAACAGAAGAGGCTGTTAACAAACGATTAAAACAACCAATAGAGTAGCAAAATTCAATCTCCAGGAAAATCTCAACCAGTAAAGTTACAGGGAGGCAAGTTTTACAGGAAGGACAGACCTAAAAAGATATAGATATATCTATCTCTAACTATAGCACAGACTATTAATTTAAAACATTTCCGAAATACCAACATTTAAAAAATACTTAAATAAAACTGGGTTTAATCTCAAAAGCTAACATAGGGGATAGAAAACAAAGATCGCTATTTTGTTTCTGCATCAGATATTTGGGCTAACTGATCCCTGCAGGTCTTCTGAGGAAGGTGCTGACAAGCGTGGCTCAAAGGGAGAGATTG